CCACCGCACCCCACGCATCCTATCCGGGCCCCGGCTGCAGAAAGTTGTGCAACTCACAGCATCTCCCGGGGCAGCGGCCCACGTCAGCCAAGAGGCAATTTTCCTCCAGATGATCTCACTTCGGAAACCGTTACGCCAGAGCGAGCGTGGAAACTGCCCGGGCATGGCATGAGTAAGCGGTGCTGCCGCAGGAGAGACAGGCCCAAGGGATGGCTCTGGCTGGGCAAAGGTCACCCCGGTGCTCCCAGCGGGTTTTTCAGCCGCGCTGGTGGGGCTGAGCAAGGAGCAACCGACTCCTCGCAGCGACCGTTGCCAAGCACCGCGGCTGGGGCACCGCCCTGGCCCCCCCGGAAAACTGGTGCAGGGTGACAGAGACCTTGCTCACCCACGTGGCATTTCATTGGCAGTCCCACAAGAAAAGCTGGCTGAACCACCACTTCGTACTGAAGCATCATTTATTAATCACCTGCATCAAGCACACATCTGTTCAGCGACGGTGCGTGGCGGGATACAACAGTTGACATTTAACCCGGAGGGAAGCACAGGGTACAGGGTACAGGGTCCGGCGCAGAGGGAGGAAATATGCTCAGCGCTCTGGAAAGACAAACCCGGGTGCAATGCAGTGCTCGGGCTTTGCGGTGAGGAGGCTGGAGACCAGTCAGAATAAAATCAAGAATAGAACTAAGATCGGAGCTGACTTGTGCTTTGACTAGTGATTTAAAAACCCATTACCCTCCTCACATATAATAAATAGGTGGAAGTGTAAAGACCCTTCTCTCCCGCATTGCTCCCAGACATCAGTGGCAGAAGGAAGACAGCTACTCTTTGATTGGCAGCTACATTTCATGTCAGATCAGCTACAAAACCCAAACACCACCATGGAACAGCAAAGCACTGTGTTTCCCGTTCACACACACGCTCCAAGGGGACCCAACCCCTTGGCTTGCCCTCCTCCTGCGGAGGAAGGCCGGGTGCCTGCCCTGGTATCACACCAGAGCAGCGCCAGCCTTCCCCGGCTGTCTCTAGAGGCTTCATCTTTCACGCCTTCCCTCCCCAGAGCAGATCTCTGGCAGCCTGCGGGTTTCCACATCCAGCTGCCGCTTAGCTGGGAGTATGCAGGTTGATGCTACGCCGAGGGCTGTTTGGAGGGAGCCGTGTCAGCAGCACAGACCAAGAACCCAGCGAGCATCTGAGTGGAAAGCCCCAACACCTCTGCACCTTGAGCAGGCAGTAATTTGGAGATAAGGAAAGCCAGGCCCATCCAGGCATGTACTACAACAGATGCCTTGGATCAAATCACCACACACACTTCAGATACAATCTAGGGTTAAGCAACTCACAGGTTTTAGCAGGGCTGAAACTTATGCCAAGCCACCAACAGCTCACTGAGACACAGAGTGAGCTTCAGCTTGATAGAGAAAGGCTTTGAAGGCAGAGAGTGTGGGATAATGATAAAATGCTTCTGCTCTGAGGAGTTTCTAAACCTCCCTGTAGCCCACAGCCTGCAGAGGGAAGCCAGGGGCTGGATCCAGTGACAGGACAGAGATCAGCATCTTTGACTCTTGCCAGAACGAAAATAAAAAAAAGCAGCTTTGGAGTTTTTGCCCAGCTCAGTGCTCAAGCCTGGTCAATAAGCATCCTGAGAGAAAATGTGGTGGCAGAGGTTTGCATCTTATAGATTTATTTAGCTCTTATTAAAGCAGTTGAACAAACCCCCAGCAAACTCTGGTGGAACGGCTCTATCATGCTGCAGGAACAAGTTGTAGTTCTCTAAAGATTAATTCTGGCACAGCTCTTTATCTTTAGTTGCAAATCCAAAGCACTATTCTGACTGAAAGAGAGATATGCTTGAAAGATGACAGAGCAGCTCGCAGTCCTAGACAAACACATGCGAGAACTTAAATGCATTTAAGTTCTGCATCTGCACCCTGGGATCTCCCTGTCCCAGTACCACTGTAGGTGACAGACCTCACATCCTGCACCAAGGGGAGTTCCCCACATGGGCTGGCACTCAGTGGAGCGGGAGCTCTTGGGTCTGCTTCTGCCAGCTGACAGGCACACAGGCAGCCAGCTTTATGCTGCTGACATGATGGCATTCAACACTTGAATTTCTGGGCCAAAGGGCTTTCACCCCTGGCTCAGCCCTCCAGGGACAGCAAGAACACAGAGCTGAGGAGGTCAGTCAGTATCTACCAATACTTACAGTACTTCAAACACTGCTCTTCATATAGGAAAAAGCCTCACCCAATTAATTATCCAATTCCTTCCAGACACTAAAGGTGCTTCACTGCAAGGACAGTTTAAATTAAAAGCAATGAATCACACACCCCATCTATGCAAAGCTGCTTTACAGCTACTGTATGCCAAAATAGCATAATTCCCAGAAAAAAGTCTGATCAGCAAACTGCACCTTAAAACTCATTGTGGGATCTCCGCCCCCCCCCCACCCCCCCCCGGAAAACCTACCACCTCAAAGGCAACATAAAAATTCAGAGAGATTGGTCCTTTCTGGGGAAAGTTTGGGAAGGGCCACAGTAGACAGGACTCTACTCCAGCACAGAGGGGAACTTGGGACTCGTGAAATGCTACAGACATTGGATCTCCTGATACGCTGCATACGTGCGCACGGGGCAAAAATCACGAGGAACTTTTAAGCGCAGGATTCCAGCAAGTCCAGCATCAGCAAGATGCAAAAAGGAAACTGCAAGGTAATTCAGGTGTTATTCCAGGGAAGGTCAGAGATGGTTCAGGCAGCTGCCCACAAGTATTTCAGCTGGAGAAAAGAATTCACAAGGGCTCTCCTCCTCACTAAAACTGGTACCAGGGCTGCAAGCCAAAATATGCTGGTCCCCCTCTACGTAGGGCTGTTCCACACTGCACTCCCCAAGAGCAAAGTGCCCACCGCTGCAGGGAGAGCCTCTGCTGATGTATGGGTTTGCACACCCCTGGGAAACAGCCTACCCCACGCCAGCAGTTATGCGAGCGAGCTTCTGCCTGCGCACTGAAGCCACATGAGCAGAGAGCTGTCTCGGGGTGGGGGGAGCAGAGATGCTGCTCACCCAGTTTTTTTTCTCCAAAAGCAAATGGCTGTTGTCCCTGACACTGCGAAAGACCTTCTCCTGGCCAGTCAAGTCTGATGACTGACCGAGCCCTTCCCATACAGGGTCTCAGACTACCTCAGGCCCTTTGTGTAACCTGTGAAGGACCAAAAGTGTCAGTGCTTCTAATCTACAAATCTACAAATTTGGGTTAATGCAAAACCAAAACGCACAACACAGAAAAGCCAAGCATGGGACCTACAACAGACAAATATTTGTTCTTTCTTATAAGACTCACAGGGCAGGAGTCCTGCTGAGACACAAAGAATACTGCGTGCTATAGCACTCCTTTCCTAAAATATCACCTAAAGACGCTTACATATTACGGATGATTTGGCATCAGAGCTAGGGAGCATCAGTGCCAGCACAGGGTATATGCTAAAAAGATGACTCCACACAACAGGGTTTTCACATCACCTCAGGCTACAAAGTGCTTACAGGTTGTGTTGGGACTGAGGCTGGCACTGCTCTGACGACATGTATCCACCATCAGTCCCTGCACACCCCAGGCATACAAGCAAGTTCAGCTGACTGCAGGCAGCATCACCCAGACTGCCTAAGCCCAGCATGCTATCTGTGCCAGGTCAGATGGATGGCTCTTCTCGGGTCACAAGATGGTGACAGGGTAATGCCATAGGCTCAGCAGATCTGATTTCACTGCCTCTATCTGCTCTATGTGATGTGAAGACTTAAAAGTCTTCCTGGTCTAAATTAGAGAAGATGATGCTTCTAGTTCTTTATTTACCATAGATATCAACAAAAGGCAGGGAAGCCTTCCTCCTCTGCACTGGAGAAGAACACAGGAATTACAGGAAAGCTTAACAAAGAAACTCTCTCCAGAGCAACATCAAGTGCTAAAGCTAAGACTTTAAATGGTCTTGCTTCACTTAAAAGCGCTTGCCAAGATCCGCTCGGCCTCCCAGGCTCCCACAGTCACCACTCCTGCCACCCAAGCGCCCGCCGGGGCAAAGCCACACATCCAATGTAAACGAGCAAGCACAACACACACACAAGCACACGCTGAAAGCCATCCCAGCCTCCTCTGCACATCACAAAGCAGCAGTAAACGTTTCAAAGCCCAGTTAAGTCCTTTGCATCTCTCCTTCACAGATGACTCAAAAGCAGGGCTAGGAAGCTCTTTTGTACATTCAACTGTAAAACATGTGAGGAAGAGGAGCAAGACAACTCTCCTGATTGTTGCTACTGCCTACAGCAAGTTTTGGTACAGATATCCTCTCTTATAGGCACTCAGTGGGTAAAACGTAGCCACAACAAACTTGCCATCAAAAATCTTTCCAGTCAGCATTTTTTGGGCAGCTTTGGAATCACCAGCATTTGCATATTCAACAAAGACCTGAAAAAGAGAGGAGAAATAGGAGAAATAGGACTTCCAGTGCAGTTTGCCACCTACCCTCTCCCACTCCTGCAACTGGGAAACAGCTCCCAAACAAATTTTTCGCCTCTATCCTCTGCTGAGCCCAGAGCAATGGAGCTAAAAAAGAAGGAGCTACACCTCTGAACTGGAGTGTCACCTCTTGTTCCTCATTTCTAAAGGCATGTTTGGTAAGGTGGGAGAAAGTATGATGATGCTTTACATCCTCAATGCTTCCTCTCCCACCCACTGGTTTCTCCCCTCCCATATCCTAGCTCCTCTGCTAAAGCTGTTTGGGGACCTCCCAGGTTAGGCAACCCTACATAACCGGGAAAGAACCTGTGCTGCCCTTCAAGATAAACAGCTATTTTTAGCACTGCCATCAGCCAGGAGATTTCCAGGAGCTGAGCAGCAGTCCTGAGCATACGTGGGAATACACAGCCTCTTCCCTCCATTCACTTACTTGGCCTTTACCAGGATTCTCCTTTGGAATAAGCAAGGAAACCACTGGTCCATATTTCTGACACTCCTCCCTTATGTCTTCCAGGATATCTAAGAAAGGAAAGAGATAGTTGTCTTTTGCTTTGCAAACCAGGATGAGCCAAGAAAGAAACGAAGGCCAGATGAACACATCATGAACACTCAGTCAACATGTAGTCTCTTCCTCTCAATTTAAAATAAACAACTGAGACATGCCACAGCAGAAGCTGACACTGCTTAATGGCCACATAACAAGACTAAGTGTCTGAACTGAGGCTCAGGAACACAGACCTGCAGGCAGCGAATCCCCAAGAGCGGGGCTTGGAGCACATGGACAGTGCTTTTCTTTGCACACAAAGCCTGGCCTGACAGTTGCTAAAACATTTGGGATTTGTGAATGCTTTTTTGTTGTTGTTGTTATGGCATTTGGAGGAGGTGAACTAAAGTAGCTGCCACAAACACTGCTTTGTGTGAGCAGAACCCAGCCTTTTAAACTCATATCCCCAGAGCCCTGCAGCTTTTGCCACGCACATGGATGTGAGAGCAAGCAGAAATCCAAATTCCACCGACATGCCTTGCCACCTACCATGTATAGTTTTTATACAGTTTAAGAACTCCAATGAGATACTTCAGTTCTCTGCTGAGATCTTAGGTAAGTTCACTAACAAACTTCTGAGGATTGCTGGTACTGGGCTCGAGAGTCCTGCGCATGTCCAGCAGAAGCTCAGAACCACAAACACATTAGGAGGTCTGTGGGCATTTAACCAAAGAAGCAAATAAACTTTTTAATATTTTTTAAAATCTGGGATCCTTCAAGAACTCACTGCAAGCTCTGCTTTCTGTCTCAATATCTTAGTCTATTCTCTGTTGGTGCAGTTGACCCCCTTGGTACCAAATCTCAGCTGAGCAGCTCTTAGTTTGCTGCTCTTACGCCTATTGCTCTTCTGCTTGCTCTCACATCCCCAACACCACACAAAACAGAGTCTGTAAGACAATATTGCTGTATGGGAATTGCACGGCTTGCACCAACCTTCATATTCTTCTTCACACTGCAGTGAAGCATCGCTCAGAACATTTAGCAGCCTCAGCACAGGCGTGGGGAGCATCACCAAATCTTCGATATGGGGAGCTGTTTGACACCCACAGAATTAGAGAAAAGAAATCAAAGTCCAAAGGAGCAAGAAAACAGGAAGTTGACTCAATACGCACTACCACACGCAAGCACTTACTGCTCTTTGCAGTACCGTTTTGCTTCTCTTCATTATTACCTGCATTTACAGCCTGTATTCTCCCTGTTTCCAACTTACCTGCACCTCTGCACTGAGGGACTCTTCCAAAGGGTTCAGTACACTCTGCAATTATACTGAGGCCAGCACCTGAAACTGCTTTTAAAATTACAAAGCTAGCAGAAATTACAACTAGAGTTATGTCTACTTAGCTCAGATTCAGAAATTGATGTGACCTGAAGAGCTGTGCTAGCTGAGCAAACCGGTGCATATATATGGAGAAGATGAAAAGAACTACTCTGCAACCTGCCTCTCCTGTTACTGCTACCAGACGAGCTGAAAACAGGCTGGCCAGCTTCTGTAACTCCAATTCTTAAGCTATACTAAGGAACAAGCCTCAAGTCTCTCTAGCATATCTTTCAGTTCTTCCCCAAACATCATGTAAGCCCTCCCCCCTTCAAAATTCAACTGCCATGCCCTGTTTTGAAGACCACCACACAATCTTGCAACAGAAATGGGGAAAACTACCTAGTTACTTAAACAATGCAGTGCTATAGAATAAGGCATGGCCACAAGAGGGTGGCCACAAGGTGGCTGAGCAGTGATCCTGTGAACAACTTCACAGAAGCAGAAATAAAGCCCGCTGTCATGGGGCACTTGGCTCTAGAAAACAGGCAGCTCCAGGATGGCCTTGAACAGGGTTGCGTGGATACTGTTGTGGAAGAAGGGAACAGTCAAGGTGGACAGACTAACTCCAAACTATGAGAGTCATGTCCCAGAGGACACCCAGTCCTCTTGAAACTCAGACCAGCAGGGACAGTGTCACTTCTCCAGGGACAAAAAGTTGATTTCATGTTCTTGAAAGGGACTGGCAGGCCAGTCATGACCTTAAGATCTGGGAGTCCAACTTGCAGTACTTGGAGAGTGTTAATGTTTTTATTAGTATTGGCACCTATAGTAGCCGAACACAATAGCTGTACCTCACAGTTCTCACACTTGACAGTGAGAGAGGAGGGAGGATACGGCTCCAGTTCTCCAGTCTGAGCCCTCTGACTATGTTTGCAAAGATAGCAGGCTCTTATTTCCTTGGAAATACTTTTCCAGTACGGTAGGTACACAATACAGATGAGGGAGCTGACATCTCTGCCAGGCGCAGACAGAAGACATTGATTTCATAGTGCAAGAGGAGATGACAGGCAAGCACACGGACTAAAAATCTCCTCCTGCCTGACATGGAAGAATCCTTATGAAAAGCTTAGAGGATGAAAGGTCTTATCAGTCTAGATGTTGCCCAGATGACGCTCAGGGACAGCCCTTCAAAGAAACGTGCTTCAGATAACCAGGCATGTTCCAGCTCCAAGCGAACCTCTTGGACCATTCTTCCACAGACAACATCAGACGAACCGGGGACTAAAAGAACATTTAAGTGTCACCTCGGTCTTATATGTTGCCCCTTTTATTCAAGTAAGTCTGGCCATCATTTCACATGTCTTTCTTCAGAGAGGGAGACAAACCAAGCCCCAGGACTCAAAGCCACCTCGTCTTCCTGTAACCAAGTGACATGCATTTCTGGCAATACCCTTCTGCCCTAGGAGGTACTTTCTGCTGAGCCCCTCTGCTCCTCTTCAAAGTGCCAGGTGATACTAACCACACTGACAACACAGAGGAATGCAGCATGCAAGCAGCTCAGGAAAGAAGTTGGTGAACTGGAAAGTCAAGACTTGGCTGTAAATGATTAGGAAAGCCATTTTCAGCTGTCAGCTCTGCACAGAACTACCATGTCCGAATGAAAGGCAATGACAGATAATTTTCTGACTTCCTGGGAAAGCAACAGTAAATGCTTCTTTGTGCAGACAAGCTTATGTACAAGTCTGGCAAAGAAGAGAACCAGGAACTAAGAAATATTGAAGCTGTTGTATAAACTTGTTGCACTAACCACAGAAGCACCTTCTTAGATACAGTTAGAGGTCTGTGTGTTTAAAACTAGACCAAAATGCACTGCTGATGTACTACTCCCTCTGCTCTAAAGCGATACTGGCTGAAGGTTCAGCTCCTTCCATGGAAGGTGGCTTTGATTACAACAGTCCCAGTTTCTGAGATGCAAGAGAAGTCTGAAAACAGGAATGAGTTTGTTACCTTTGCCTAATACACAGGAACGGCAGTATCTTGACGTGACCTCAAGAGGCAATACTTAACCTTCACTGCAAGGTACACCAAGCAGCTTAAGAAAAGCAGGGCTGAGATTCAAGGGAAAATGCTAGCCCAGCCAAAATCTGTATGCTTGAAGGATTAATTCACCCTGCAGAAAAGCTAGACACAGGGTTCTTCACTGGTGTTCTTGAAAGCAGGCAAGCTCTGGAGAATGCTACCATGTTGTTTTTGGAACAGAAAACAGGGAGGGATACGAGCGTAAACAGGGCAGTCTCAGCCCATCTTTTGCTGACAGCCTGCAACCCACATGGGAGGGTCCTGGGGAAACAGCACCATTTCATTAAATTGAAGAGAAAGTGCCAGATCAAAGCAACAGTGACATGTGTCTGTGACCTGCCACACAGGCACCAGAAGTGGCAGGCCAGTCACTGCAAAAATAGGCTCGCACCATGAGAACACACTGGGACTATCCGACCTGTGCAGAGGAGACAGCAGCAGATGCTACCACCAGCCACTGCCCCGTCACTCGCATTCTGGGCTTCTGAACTGGGAAACTCTTGGCATAAGAAAAACCATCCACCTGCCACAAATAGTATACCGCACTCTTCAAAAGCACCTTAACGGTCACAATATTAGGCAAGTGCCTTGGTTATTTTTTCCCCTCAAATGAATGCTCTGGGCAGTTTGACCTGGGCAGAATTTAGTGGGAGTCCAACCAGGGAAAAGCGACAGCCCGCAGGGCTAGAGGAGCAGGGCAGCACTGAGAGCACAGGCCTCGCTCTGACCTGCCTGCTGTGGTACCGCAGAGGGCTGGCGAGCGCTGCAAAGAGCAAAGGAGCAGCAAGGAAGCCAGAACCAGAAACAACAGAGTTTAACTGCACTCTGTGCTGCTTCCAATACATGCTGAGAAAGTCGCGAGCAGGGGCAACGTGCACAGCTTACCAAAGGGAATGCTGAAGAACGGGCTGCATAAAGCCTTCTCAGCAGAGGCTCGCTTTCCTTGGTCACAATGAAGCATGCTGGAAGAGAAGAGACACCCTTATGCTCTTGCAGGTGATTCCTGCATTGACAAATTCAACTCAGGCTGGAAGCCAGTACAGAGGAATGCCCTATCTTTGGGGTGCTTACGGTACAAAGAGAAGAGTGAGAAGCACGTCTTCCAATTCACAGCTGAAGCACACCAGAAGGATCTCTTGAAAGCATTTTGGGTATAGGCTACAGTAGGCTTTCCTTCTCGATGTCTCTCAGCACCAAATGATGGAAGTTGCTCACTTACAAGTTCACAAAGAATGCTGCATATTCTGGCTCCAGCTCCCCAGACCATTCAGTCCACACCTCAGGCACACATGCAACCTCATGAAAGTGATCGCACACTGAGGAGCTCCCACATCTTTCCACAAATGGGATTCAAAGCAGCTAATTGCCCAGGGCTTGCCTGAGAACATCCCCTACTCAGCTTTACCAGTGGCTCCCGATGCTATTTCTGCCAGGTTGTGTCCTCATTCACTCTGTAGCCTCAGAGCAGAGTCACAGGACAGCAAAAACCATCCCCTCGGCAGACCTCTTGGTAGAGAGCTGCACAAGTGCATTTGAATCTTGACAGCAGTGGAGAAGCAGCACTGTCTGCCCCCCTTCCTCATTTCTGACAACACTCCCCTAAAGCAGCAAAATCTCCATTTTTCTCCAAGTATAATCTCACTGGCAGGAAGTGCAAAGCACTGAAACAGCAAATGATGAACATCATGACTAATATTCTTTATGTGCTTAGTCCAAACTGTGCCAAAATCGGAGGAGCTGAAGCGTCTCTGCTAATGTTTACACTTGTTACTAACATAGTGGCAGGGAGATTTTTTTAAAAAGAAAAAAAAAATGTTAGGTGTGTAGACACTAAGTTACCAAGAGCAAGGCATGAGACTTTACAGAGTACATCTTTAAGCAACAGTTAGTAAATATGATAAGATACCTTTTAATAAGGTCTCTGAGGTGATAAGCTGGAATGGCTGAATTAACCACCCCTTCACTGGCAAATATGCGATCAATGATGGCAGAACTGTTTGTCTGGAAAGAAAAAGAAAGAGTGCTTAGGGAGAAAAATAAAATACCAGTGCAAAGCTTGCAATATCCCATCATTTTCTGGACTGGAAATAGAGGCCTCTGGTACTATGGCACTTTGTGAGAGATCCCCAATGCTCCAGCCTCACATGTTAAACAAGCAGGCCCACATCAGATTAAGTTTTTCCCATTTGCCTGTGCAGAAGCTGGAAATTTCCATGTGCAGGCAAATTTGCTGTTACTGTGGACGTTATGATGCTGAAAGTATATTCTTACCGGGAAGGGGAGCACAAAACAAAACTATTTCATACAGAACAGAGCACAGTCAGGCTCCACACTCACAACAGAGAGCCTTCCTCTTGTTTTCTCAGGATATAGACTTAAAAGAAGATCCTCAAATTAGAGCTAAAGTTAGACTAAAACCAGCAAATCGTTCCTCTGTCATTGTGCTGCTGAACTAGCTGGCAGCCATCAGCCATCCATTTCGTTCTTCCTTCTGTGCCGCACTATAGGGAGGGCAACTCACCTCACAGATCTTGGCAAGACACAGGCTCCAAACAGAGACTCCTTGGAACCCTCAGCGTTCAGTAACATGAACACAGGCAGCATTCAGACACGCCAGTCCCACAGGGCAGGTGGGCCTTTAAGGCTCCGGAACCTTAATTCTCAAGGCAATAGGATTACAGAAACTTCCTGGAAACACTCTCTAGTTGCCAGGTGCTACCTCACAAATCCAGGTTACAAACAAGAAGCAGGCGGACTTGTTTGGTGCAAGGAAAAATGCCTGCAGCAGCTCTCACTCACCTTCCATTCCTGAGATTGGACTGTATGTTTCAGTTTCATTCCTGAGAACATTTCCAGTAAAACGATTCCCAGACTCCACAGATCCACAGCAGAGGTACACTCCGTCTCACTCTGGAGCCCTGCCTGTGCCAGGCAGTTCTGCAGTTCTGCCTCTGGAGCCCGATACCCGTCTGTTTGAATATATTTCACATCCTATGGAAGATCAAACAAGCACAAAAAGTCAATTTTCCAGATTCAGGTTCTCCGTTCTATCCTTAAATGAGTTCACAAAGGCCTTTCCAAATGGGTCACCAAAATGACAGAAAGCACCGTACAGCCATGTACAGTCATGTTAGGCAGGCACACCCCATACTGCTGTGTTGATGAGGAAAAAAAACAAGACTGTCTGGAAGAGACAACATCTCCCAGCAAAACAGCAGGCATCCCACTAACATCTGATCTCTCTGAAAGACAGCCCTGCTGGGAGGAAGAGGCTCGATATCACTACAGACTGGCCCGTTAACCTCTCATAAGCGCAGAAGACTCTAGAAGTTTCAGGATCAGGGTCAAAAATGCACAACATGCACCCACGCTGGCTGCATGAGAGTACAAACAGCCCAGTCTAAACAGTGAGGATCTGTAACAGCTTCCATTATTCAAAGGATTCAATTCTGATGTTCTCTGGAACAAAACACTAAAAGAACGAAGCAGGCACCTAATGCTCAGACAAGGAAATTATCAAAGGCACTTCCCACGCACCTCTTCCTTCCCCTCCCCGGCAGCCAGCAGTGCTGCAGCAGTCAATACTGGCCCGGTTGCCACGGCTGGCAGAGTAAAATAAACTGCCTGCACGCTGCCTGCTTAAAAGAAAACAGGAAATTATAGAATCACACAGGTGCTGGCTGGAGGGGCTGCTCTGAAGGTCTCCAGTCCAGCCTGCTGCTCACAGCCAATACCCTACCAGTCAGTGGTGGCTTTGGCTAGCCAAGTCTTGTGAGTGTCCAAAGACAAACAGCATGCAGCGCCTTTTTAACACGGGAGGGCTCATTTTAGACACACTGCTGTGACTCAAGGAATGACAGAAGAATATGCAAACCTACTTCCTGGATAAGGCACAGGATTGGGAATTCTTCCTGGGGAATATATTGAAATCAAAATTATCTGACTGAAAATAAAGTTTACAAAAGACATTTTCAGGCAACAGAACGGAAAAGTGGCTAATGAACTTAAAAAAAACCTGATACACAAATTGCTCATCAGCATCCCTCCTCCTATCAGCAAAGAGCAGAACCTCTAGCATGGCAAAAGCAGGAGTTCAGCAGCCCCACCAAACAACATTTAGAGATAGAGAAAACACCGTGGCCATTGCCAGCAGCAAAAATTGTGAGATGAAATTTCACTCCTACCACCTAAAGCATTTTGAGAGATGTAAGTGACTAAGACCTTGCTCTATGTGCGGCCATTCTCTGTTAAACAGTAACAGCAGGAAAAGTTATGCAAGGATAAGCTTGGCAGAGTTGTCACTAATGAAAGTAGCATAGTCGTGACTCCGATAAGGAAATCGTGCAACGTGTGCTGCAAGGCAGGGGTGGTGAGGAGAAGCTGATACCCAGTGAACATTCAAAGCAGGGTCAGAAGGTTCACCCATATAGCCAGCATATTTCTGAGAAGAGGCAAAGGCAACTCAGCACAAAGAAAGCAGATTGGAAGGAACCAAACTGGAAGGAAATAAAACATCTGGATCAACTATTATGAGGCAACTCACAGAGCAAGCAGCAAAACACAGCCCTGAATTCAGAAAAAAACGTATCTGCATTAGACATAGGACACCAGGAGAATGTTTTTTGCTGATAGACAGCAACAGATTAGCAGCACAAACCAGCACTCAGCCAACAACGTGGGAGAAGTGAAGAACAACATGGAGGAGTTGTTAAGAAGTACAGATATTAAAAACCACTCCTGCACCAAAGAATTGAGAGACAGGTCACCCACACAATCCTCAGATATTCACAGATCAGTGGGCTGTACCGTCAATACCAGGTAAACCAGTAAAGAAAGTATATGAATTTAAAACCTCTAAATGAGTAGAGTGCATGGAGTAGGGACAAGCCAGAACAACATGTGCACAGAAAAAAATCATAGCTGCCCATCATCCAGTGATTAAAGGCAAATTTGCTAAGAGGCTACCTGATGAAAAAGCTTTACTGATATCCCTCACAGGCTGTTACTGAGAGAGGGAGGGATGAAAAGAAGCTCTATCAAGTCAATGGCAGAACCTCCTGAGCCTCTCTGCTTTTCATCAGAGAATAAAAAGGGCAAGGACAAACTTACAAAACCCAGTATCACCAAAACAAAAAAAGTGACAGCATGAAGAGGGAGTGAAAGCCCAGCAAACAGGAAAAGCACAGCAGAATAGGCAGAGATCTGCCCGTGTCAGTAAAGAACGGACACTGCCTACCCACAACCAGAGTATGGGCTTTCGTCAGCACAATGACATGGGAAAGAAATATCCAGACTTCCTGAAAAAGGGAAGCTGCTGAAGATAGAATGAAATTAAAGATAAGCACAAGGATACTGCCAGAGATAATGCAATTGACTGGGGAGGCTGATGGCGAAGCCTGGATTACTACTACATATGATAAGGGATGATAAAAGGAAATTCTACATATCTGGGTGCTCCCACGCATCTGACTGCATAAAAACTAGTAAACTTTCCAGGAAGCTGAGACACCACTTTTTTCAGTGCATCATTAACTTTGGAATGCGTGGTCATGTGTAGCACAAAGGCTAAGACATCAACAGAAACCAAAGACATGCAAGGAGAATGGGAACATGAGCTTCTGTTTCTGGGGCCAGACAACACTTTAGCCTTTTCCACGAAACCCTCAGCATCAGCTCAGCTACTACTCTGATCAGACCATGCTGAGTCCTACACTCATGAGCCTAGAGCATCACAGACCCACACAACTCAACACAGAGCCAACTGTTTCAAGAGCAGCATGTTCCAAACCTGATTCCCCTCTTTGAAGCTAAGTCCAAAGTCAATGAGCTTAAAGCACTCCTCCTCTGCGCTCCACAGGATGTTGCGTGGCTTGAGGTCTGCGTGCACGTAGCCTTTGTGGTGCAGGAAAGCCAGGGCTTCGAGAACATCTCGGGCGCAGTGCTGGATCATCCACATGGAGCAGCCCTGGTTGCTAGAGTGCAGCAGCAGCTCGGACACACTGATGTCCAGCAGCTCCAGCAGGAGACAGCGAGATGGGCCATTCGCAGAGTAGTGGTTGGTGAACACGCCGTACAGCGTCACTAGAGCGAGACACATTGACAGGCATTGGTAATGAGCAATTACATGGCCATCACGTTCCACCGCTCTCCACTACTGCCCAGAAGACCACAAAAGCTGCAGGAGGCAGCTCATCTGTTTCACAAAGTGTGATGCTCAGAGATGGAGAACCAAACTTCAGAGGGAAGCGGCAAGGGAAAATCATCCATGTCACCCCTACAGGCTTCAGAGGGTAGGCCGGTCTCACAACAACCCACCAGGCTCTGCTAAAGCGACAGGGCTGGGTGCTCCTGCTCAGATGGACAATCTCTGGGCCATGGATAAGCAGGTCCCGGTGGGGAAAATGGAGGTCGCACCACTCTTTTTGGGACATGTCAAATCTCTTCCTGAGACAAAGCTAGCCAGTGAGAACGCAAGCTCTGCCTGGGTGTCTAGGTACATTACACACTGACAAAAAACAACTGGTGGTGGGTGAACCTGGGGGCTTCCAGCCTGATGGGTGGGCTTCCTCCCTTCCCAAGCCCACTCCCACTCACGCAGGCAGCCCAGGGGCTCCTGCCAGAGCCCGGCAGGCCGGCGGGCTAGCAGGCAGCACAGCTCTCACCCCTCGCAGCACAGGGGCAATCCAGGCAGCCCTGTCCAGGGAGGACTTCAGGGTTCTCTGCTTGCAGCGCCCTACTCTGCCTACCAAGAGGGTGCCCGCCCTGGGGAGGTGACGGGCAGACCCCAGGCAAAGAAAGGGGTGGGGAACCTAGGAGCCTGCCGCGAGGGGGTTGGGAAG